TTTTCTGGGGCTTGAGAGATGGCTCAGTGGTTAAGAACACTTGCTGCTCTTGTAGATGACCTGCATTCAGTTCCAGCATCCACATGGCAGCTAACAATCATCTGTAACTCAAGTTACAGGGGATTCAACACCCTCTTCTGGCCTCCTTGGGTACTGCATGCATGTGGTACACAAACTCATGCAGGCACACACATACACATTTAAAAAAGAAGAACATTCTTCCACACACCCATAATGCCACTATTCCCGTAAAAAAATGATCAATAATTCTCTAATATCTAAAATCCAGTTTAAAATTTCCTTAACGATTCAGCCAGATGTGCTGCTAGTCTGTTTGAAGTGAGATCAAATCATGCATCATGTATTAACTGGGTTTTGTCTCTCTGGTTTCCTTTAATGTAGACTGTTACCCACCCCCAATCCCAGTTTTCCCTCAGAACACTGACTCCTTGGAGAGACTAGAGCACTTGTCTCAAAATGCCTGGGTACCAATTTGTTCAATGGTTTCCTTGTGGCATCCTTTAATTTGTTCTATTAGCTGTGTTTCCTGTAACCTGGAAATTAGATACAGAAGTTTGATTAGATTCAGGTTAAGTGTTTTTGGCAATGAGTCCTTGATTTGATACACTCCACGTTTCAGCCCATCAGGAGACATAAAAGGTCACAGGAAAAGTATTAGTGACAGTAAATCTAATTGGTTCATAAGGAGCTAATTTCTTGGTCTGTCCAATTTATGAGGGACCTGAGGGTGACACTGTGGCACAGTGACCACCCACATCCACTGGTCTTTGGTTATTGTATGGGGCATGGTGTTTTCAGAAACAGTCCTTTGCTGAGCCTGCCATCCCTTCTGTGTGAGCTAGATGTGTGAAGGAGTGCTTTCCCTTGTTACTTGGGGGACTGTTACCTGAATTGACTGTGGGTCAATTCAGAGGGTCAGGAAATGAAATTGGTTCCTTTAATTACAAACTTTCAGAATGGGGAGTTGGTACCCTGTTATCCAGTGGTGAAAATTGACGTGTGTGTGTGTGTGTGTGTGTGTGTGTGTGTGTGTGTATGTATGTATGTATATGCTTGTGATATATGTGTATGTGCACCCAAGTGTGCCAATTTGGAGGCTAGAGGTCAACTCTGGGTGTTTTCCTCTATTGCTCAGAGACAGGGTCTCTCACTGAATCTGCAGCTCACTAGGAGCTCCTGGGAGTCTTCTGCCTCTTTCTTACCCAGCTCTGGGATTACAGATGCATGTTTTGGTCTCTGACTTTTTTTTTTTTTAACATGGATGCTGGGAATCCAAACTCAGCTTACATAGCAAGCTCTTTACCCACTGAACCACCTCTCCAAGTAACTTTTTCAAAGTGCAGGGCTGGAAAGATGGCTTAGCAGTTAAGAGCATGTACTGATATTCTAGGGAACCTGAGTTGGTTTCCCAGCACTATGTTGGAAAGCTCACAACCACCTGTAACTCTGGTGCCAGGAATCCAACACTGCTTTCTGCCCTGTGGGTGGGTACCTGCATACATGTGGTGCACACACACACACACACACACACACACACACAGTATTTAAAAATATATAATCAATTATGAGTTCTTTCTGTCTCTTTATGTCTCTCTCTGTCTCTCTGTCTCTGTCTGTCTCTCTCTCTCTTTCTCTCTCTCTGGTGCTGGGGATCCACCTCAGGGTGTTGTGTTTGCTAGGCATATACTTGTCCACCGAGCTATATTCACCCAGCCTGTAATTATTTTTTTGATGCCCAAATTCCCTCAAATGTGGTCAGCAGGTCCTCCTTCAGGATGGTTCCTGGGTTTTACTTTCTGACACAAGATATCCCAGACTGAATTGGTACCTTCCTTTCCCCAAACCTGGAATTAGCTATTTCTCCAAGGGGGTCTGAGTCTTGTCTTTGTGGGATGGTGTTGAAGGCAAAGCTTGGGAGGGGAAGTGCGTGTTCATTGTCACAGGGCGCCATGCTGCTCGAAGTTGAGAGCAACGAGGAAATAGATGCGCCTTTAAAAACATGACTTCATAAGGTCATTTTCTTTCCTTCCCTCTAAATTTATTTTCTTGTGGTGCTGAGATTAAACCCAGGTCTTGTGCATGCTAGACAAACACGCTACCACTGAGCTGCATCCCCAGCCCTATTAGTACGTTGCCAATAATTTCCACATTATAGGTTTTTCTTAACTTATTTTATACCCTTTATATTTTCTTACATTGAAAATCTTGGCTCCCTGTTAGGAATGTTAATATAATTACTTATTTGCTTACTCTCTTATACACATGAAATAACTTCAAAATCCCAATACTAACGTTTCTCGTAATGACACAGCTACTGTGTTTAAGTTTTCCTTGAAGTAGGCAAAATTTTCTGTCCTCCGATTATATCCCACTGGGATGTCCAGCCAGAATGGTGAGTGCTAAGACCACCCAACACAAATCTTCCCTTGCCCAAACAAGACCTTTACATGATATAAAAGTCAATCTACAGAGCAACATATCCCCCAGGATGTTGTCCACAGCTCTCCATCACAAACCATTTTTCCTGCCCCTAGTGACCTCCCCCATCCTCCTCCCTCTTTTTAAGCTGGCTTTTGGTTTGCTATTTGTATTAGTTATTTTTCTAATTTCTCTGTCCAAATAACTGACAAAAATAACTCAAGGAAGGAAAAGTTTATTTTGGCTCACGATTTGAGGGATCAGGCCTTCATAGTAGGGTAGGTGTAGTAGCAGGAACTTGAGGAAGCTGGTCACTCTGCATCCATAGTCAGGAAGCAGATCTGGATGAGTGCTATGGCCCCACTTTCTCTCTCTTTTTATTTTTATTTTATATGTCTGAGTGTATTGCCTGCATGTATATAAGTGCGCATGTCTCGTGCAATGCCCACAGAGGTCAGAAAAAGGTGTCAGATCCCCTGGAACTGGAGTTACGGATGGTTGTTAGCCACCATGTGGGCGCTGGGAACTGAATCTGGGTCTACTCTACAAGAGCAGCCAGCACTCTTAACCTCTGAGCCATCTCTCCAGCCCCAGCTTTCTCTTTTCATTAAGCCCAGGACCTCAGCCCACGAGATGGTGCTACTCACACTCGGTTAAACCTCTCTGACAATGCCCTCACAGACACTCCAGAGGTCTGACTCCTGTGTGATCCTGAAACTGGTCAAGTTGACAATCAAGATTGACCACCAACTCTTCTAGTGTCTCCTTTTGCCAAAATCAGAGAGTATGTTGATGCTCTTCCTGTGACATTCCTGTGCCTGTGATTTCTTTTTATGTATATGAGTGTTATGCCTGCATGTATGTTAGGGCACCCCTCTTATGCAATGCCCATGGAGGTCAGAAGAGGCCATAGGCTCCCCTGGAATTGGAGCTAACTGGACAGTTGTTAGCTGCCATGTGGCTGCTGGGAATTGAACCTGAGTCCTGTGCGAGAGCAGCCAGTGGTCTTAAGTGCTGAGCCATCTCTCCAGCCCTGTCCCTGTGATTTCTAAAGTTAGATTTCAATGGTCCAGCCCACTCCACGGAGCCTTTACTTAAGCTTGGATCTTCACCAAGTTCTTTCTCCCCAGCTTAATTCTGGAACATTCCTGGTCTCTATCCCATCATCTCTGTATTCTGCTTAGGCTCTTATTTCCACACTATTGTGTACCACTGCTTTCTTAGTTATTCAAGTCTTGTTTTCTAGTTGGGCTGCATGTCTTTTAAGGGTAGGACTGTGCCTAGGATTTTTAAAAACATTTTATTTTGCAGGGGACAGGGGGACACATGCCCTGGCACACATCTAGCGGTCAGAGCACAAGTTACAGGGGTTGGTTCTCTCCTTCCACCATGTGGGTACTGGGGATTGAACTCAGGTCATCAGGCTTTGTGGCAAATGCCTTTATCCACTGAGCCATCTTGCTGGCCCTAGAATTCTTTTCTGTTCCTTCATAGTATCTAAAACAGGCTTGGACACAGTCATATGTGAGAGACTCAGGCTGTTCTTATTATTGGTAGTGAATAATGCAACACAGGGTTACAGTTCTGAGAGCCTCTGGATGCAACATTTTTATCAGTCAGTCAATATATAACCTTGTTTCATGTGTGTTTCTGTTTAAAGACACCTTGTTTATTTAATGCATACTTCTGAGTCATTAGCATTGAACTCATAGCCAACTACACTGTAACTCCTTCCCGAGCAGCTTGTATAACATGCAGATTTTCTCCATAAGGCACGTCACAGCTTTCTTGTGCTTACAGATGCTAGACAGCACTTATCGCTTCACTCGGGGACCATTACACACAGTGAAATCACCCACAGAAAGCACAAACAAGCAAAAACTGTGGCACTCCATAGAGGGGTCAGAGGACGTCTGCTGATATCCTGATACCTGAAATAGGAGGGTAGAGGGTCATCTTGTCTGACCTCAGCAAGCAACATGTGCATTGGAGTAGTGTGTGTGTGTGTGTGTGTGTGTGTGTGTGTGTGTGTGGTGTATATACTTGTGTGTGCATGTATGTGGAGGATAAAAGTCAATGTTGGGTGTCTTCCTCTCCACCTTATTTTTTAAAAACTGTATTACATTTATTTATTTTGTGTATGTGTGCATATATATGTACGTGTGGGGGCATGCTTGTGCCATGGTGCACATGTGGAGGTCAGAGGACAACTGTGGGAGTCAGTTCTCTCCTTCCTCTGTGTGGGTCCCAGGATTTCACTCAGGTCAACAGGCTTAGTGGCAAGTGCCTTTATTTGCTGAGCCATCTCCCTAGCTGTTACTCATAGATTTTGCAAGTCTGTTTCTATCCGTGAATGATTCTAAAGAGGCTCAAGTATTGATTTGGGGGTTCGAAAACACTGACATGAGTGACTTTGACATATGGAATCTGTGGATGAAGATTGAATACGTTGGGCTAAATTGATTTGTGTTAGTGGTTAACCTTAGACTAGTTGGATTCCCAAACTGCTGTTCATTTGGCTTCCTGTGGCTGGCCAGGATCTGATCTCCTTTTCCTCACAGGTTTGTGGACTTCCACACAGCTGCCTCCACCTGCTCTCCCTCCAGAGCCTCGCTGCTCACTGGCCGACTGGGTCTCCGCAATGGAGTCACACACAACTTTGCAGTCACCTCTGTCGGGGGTCTTCCACTCAACGAGACCACGCTGGCAGAGTTGCTACAGCAGGCTGGCTATACCACGGCGATGATAGGTGATGTACCCCGGGGGCTGCTTCAAGTTCTCAGCCTCGCGATGGCTGCTGCCTCTTCTGCTCACGCCTGCGTTTTTGTTGGCTTCTCAATTTGTATATTAGGAATGCTTTCAGCTATAAGTAACTGAAAAGACCCAACGATGGCTTAAAACACGTATAGAGCTTTTTCCTCCCATGATAATAAGCTTTGCCTTAAGTGGTTGCTTCCATTAGCTCATCTGCTCAAATATGCCTTTGGGAGCTTTTTCTGCCTCTGTTCTGCCATCCTGATTTTTATCCTCAAGCCTGTGGCTACAATACCACAGCTCTAGAGTCCTCTGTTATAATTAGACTCGAGGAGGAAAGAGAGAGTAGGTATCAACAGTATGTACCCACTTTTATCAAGAAATGGAATCTTTTAAGACAAAGAACTTTGCTTAAATCGTACTGTTCAGAGCTAGGTGACAAGGCCACTGGGTTGCAAAGAAGGCTGGGAAATGGGATTATAATGATTGACTTGACCCTGGAAACAGTCATCGTCTTCCCCCTGGAAAAAAAACAGAGTTCTGGACTAGGAGTGAGTCAGTGGTAGAGCACCTGCCCGGCATGAAAATGCCCTGGGTACCATCCTTAGCATTGTAAACAAACAACCCCAGCCCCATCCCCATCTCTATTTTATTAGTATAAAGAGGACATGGGTATAAGGTAGGAAACCTCAGCCTGTGCCCCGCTGTCCAAGGACCTCCTCCACCGACACCTTTTTGAATCTCACATATCCCAGGCTAGCCTCAAACTCACTATGCAGCTGAGGATGACACTGAAGTTCTGATTTTCCTGCCTCCATCTCCTGAGTGCTGGAATTGCAGGCATGTGCCAGTCCCACTCAGTTTTATGTGGTGCTAGGGATCGAGCCCAGGGCTTTGAGCATAGTTGGCAAACATTCTACCAACTGAGCTATGCCTCTATCCATGTTTGTTTGTGAAACAGGGTCTTATTGTATAGCCCAGGCTGGCTTCAAACTCATCATCCTGTTTTGGGCCTCCCGAGTGCTGGGATTTCAGGCTTTCTTTCCTTGTAAATTCTTGTAGGCACCTCTTACTCAGCATGCATCATGTACTAGGCAACTGGGATAAATTCAATCCCTTGGGGGTCATTATTTTCCTGTTGTAGAGGTGATATAACCCTGTCTTGGACCATGAGAACACTTGTTCCATGTGTCCTGGCTGGAACAGCTGGTGTCTATGTCTGTGCTTGATCTGGCCACAGCCTCCCCGAGATGCTTTATTTCCCTGCTGGCCTCTCCCGCAGAGGCCAATACCAACAGCCTCCTCAGCCTGCCTGTGCTTGTTACGCTCAAAGAGCTGGGTCCAGCGGGATTCCTGCCTCTCTTTACCATAGTGAAATGGCAAGGGAGGGTGTGCCAACAAGTGAGGAACAGAGAGGGTCCTTGTGGAGGACACACTGGTGCCTGGAGCTTTCTGTGTTAACCTGGAGGAAGTTGTTCTACCCAGACCAGAGGAAGGGCTGGCATCTCTGGTGTTCGGCCCCGCCCCTACCACCGGGATCACAAGCCTGACATTCTTTTAAAGGCACTCAAACTGGAGGGTGGCATACATTGTCTTAGAAGAACAAGCCCCAGTCAGTGGAAGAAGGAACCAATTAAGGTCCAACCTTGTCTTTTTCTGACTCCTTTCTCCCCATGCCCTGAGGTGTAATTAGGCTGAAAACATCAACACCAAGAGGGCTGTGTTTAAAGCCCCCTGGGGGATGCCTGTCCACTAGACCCACTAGATGCAGCCATTTAATCCTCAGAGCCAGGACACGTGTGGTTCCAGGACTGCCCAGCTCTAGAACCTTATGCTATGGGAGGACTGGGCTCTTGTTCAGCTGATTTGGTCTCATGGTCCCTCCATCTCTCTGCCTTTAAACACCAAGAAAGCAGCTGATCACGGGTTGACTGTTTAGCTTCCACCCATCCCTCGTTCCAAACTGCGCCTTTTGAAAGTTGGAGAGGATAAACATACCCACTTGCTGACATTATGAACTAAACCTGCCAGAGGACTCTGGGGTCCATTTATAGCACTCAACATTGCTTTGAATCTTTGCCCATGTTCTTGTTTTTATTATCTGTGGGTGTATCATTTGACTTAATTTTTCCCCGTTCACTTTATTTTATATTTCATTGTTTTATATATATATATATATAAATATATACATACATATATACATACACATACACACACACACACACATATATATATATATGACATGACTTGAGTATAAGGTAGGAAACCTCAGCCTGAGCCCCAGATGTGTGTGTGTGTGTATTTTTTTTTTTTTTTTTGAGACAAGGACTTGCTATATAGCCTCACCTTGCCTGGAACTCTATGTAACCCAAGCTGGCCTTAAACTTGTGAACCTTCTGCCTCAGTGTCCGAGTGTTGTGCTTTCACACCCGGCTTTGTTCTTTAAAAACTTTTTTTTCAGGCTAGTGAGATGGCTCAATGGGTAAAGGTGTCTACACCCAAACCTGACCATCAGAGTTTGTTCCCTGGGACCCACAGGGTAGAAGGAGAGAACCGACTCCCGAAAGTTGCCCTCTGACCTCCACATGTGTTCTGTGGCATATATATGTCCCCCACCACTAAATGTTAAAAATAAACAAAAAAACCTTTTGTTTCAACCCCATAGAGAAGAGTCAGGCACAGTCATACACTGCTATAAGTGTTATAAGCCTAGCTCTTGGGAGGATGAGAGAGCAGAATCTCAAGTTTGAGGCCAGCCTGAGCTATATAGTAAGACCTTGTCTTAAACAAAATATAGCAAAACAAAATGAAACCAAACCCATAAAGCAGTTACGAGACTCTCATCTAAGTTCACTAACTGTTACTTTTGCTACGTGTACTTTCTTTAAAAGATACTTTGGTACTGTTTTGAGTCCCCACCAAATACTTTACTTGGCCATACTCTGTCTGCCCGCTCGTCTCTCTTCTTCATGCTGTCTGCTGTCTCCACTGGTTAATCTTTGTATTGGATTCCTCTGCTGGCCTTGGCAATGGTGTCCCTAGGATCCAGTCTGCCTAGCAAACAAGCAGTTCAGAGGCTCTAGCATGTCAGTGCTCTGCCCCGCATTGCCCAGTTATCCCCGCAACCCAAATGCATTGGCAGAGCAGGAGCAGTGGGAGGCTGAGTTTCTCATTTGCCGCCCTGTGCACCAGTGTCTGGATGCTTGAGCTACTATGGGAGATGACCTCTCCCCCAGCCCCCGTGAGCTGCTGATGTTGTCCAGAGAGGAAGATGCTCAGACCAGGTGAGAGTCAGGTATTTATGAGACTGTGCAGGGCAGAGACCATCTGCGTCCTTGAAGCCTTCTCCATGGGACCCCATGAGCCACATGGAATGCCATGGCTTCTGGATGCTCCTGAAGGGGCACAGGCTCAGCTAGGTGGCATTGCTAGGCTCCTGGGGATGCTCTGCTGTTCCGTGTGATCATGAGTCATCCTTGCTTGTCTTCTGTCTCCCTGTAGACTCCCCGAAGTTCCAGAGAGCAGAGCTGGGTGTGCACACGGCACTGGCAGGTCCTTTTTTGCTTGTCCTCACCGAAGCGTGAAGCTGATGGAGAGCTGAGTGTGTGACCTGCTTCTTGGAGGGTCTGCATGTCTCCATAGGGATCCCTCTGAATGCCTCTCTCTTGTTTTTCCACAGGCAAATGGCATCTTGGGCACCATGGCTCTTATCACCCCAATTTCCGTGGTAAGAATTCTCTTAGGGCTTGTTCCCTGGGAAACAGAAAATAAAGGTCTCTGTGTCAGAGGACTGTATCAACATTTGCGCCCTGGGAATATTCTGCGTTAGAACTTCTTTGTCCCAGAGGTCACTTGAGTAGATGTGGGGTACCAGTACTCTCCCCAATCTTATGTCTCCCTTGCTGGTCACCCTCCTTTGCGTCTGTCTGCTCTGAGGGCTCCTCTACTGCGGGCACATCCATTTTCTTGACTACCAGTTCTTTGTACCTTAGGCAACATTCAGCCCCATGAGGTTCTGATATGGCTTAAGTGGGAAGTTCAAAAATTGCCTGGTAGGTTGCTGGAGCCGGGACCTGGCCCATTGGCCCAGACAGGGGAACTCGCCTCCTGGCTGCCTCCTGCAGCTGTTTCCTTCTGCAGACCTCTCACCCTTGGCCTTGGTGAAGAAGGCCAAGACCAGGCTGCTAAAGCCAATTCTCTGAAACTAATCGCCGAGTGGTACATTCTCTGAATGTCCAGTTTACCCAAATATGAATTTTTTCCAACTTATAGCTTGTGCCTCTGCCTTTCCCAAGTCTTTTCCTTTACTTACCAGAACCCATGACTCTCTCCTAGAAGCAGTTTACCACATCTCCTAGTAGTTGCAGCTGTCCACTTGACACAGCCCAGAGTTACCTGAGGGAATCTCAGTTGGGGGGATTGCCTAGATAAGACTAGTCCATGGGCATGTCTGTGGGGCATTTTCTTGAATGATAATTGATGTAGAAGGACCTAGACTACTGTGGGCAGTGTCATCCCTAGGCAAGGGGTGGGGTCCTGGGCTGTATAAGAAAGCTAGCTGAATTCCTGACATGGTGGTATGTGCCTTTAATCCCAGTCCTCTGGAGGCTAGCCTGGGTCCACTTAGTGAGTTCCTGGCAGGTTGGGACTAGGGAGACCTTGTCAAAACAGAAACAAAAACAAAACAAAAAAGAAAGCTAGCTGTGCAGAAGCTAATGAACAAGCCAGTGAATAGCCAGCTCTCTTCTACTGTTCCTGCCCTGACTTCCCTCAGTAATGGACTGTGACCTGAAAGTGTAAGATGAGATAAAGATTTTTCTCACCAGGTTGCTCTTGGTGTTTATCACAGAATAGAAAGCAAAGTAGAACACCTTACCGCTGCATGCGGCCTTTTGCTGCCCTTGGCCCTACGTATGCAACCCTTAAATGTCATTCTCTGACTGTTTTGCAAACTTCTCCCTTCCCCTGCCCCAATGTCTCCCTCTATCTCTGTGGCAAAGGACTGCATTATGCCTAAAAGACCACCTCCCATTAAAAAAAAAAAAAAGATTTATTTATTGTTTTAGTGAGTATGTGTGTATGTGCCTGTGTGAGTTTATGTGCCAATGTGCATGCAAGGACTGAAGGAACCCAGAAGAAGGAATTGGATCCCCTGGAACTAGAGTTACAGGTGGTTGTGAGTTGCCATGTGGGTACTGTAACCAAACCCAGCTTCTCTGTAAGAGCAGTGAGCACTCTTAACCACTGAGCCATCTCTCCAGCCCCATGAAGAATCCTTTTAAAGGACCACACAGGAGCAGAAGATGAAGCTGTGTTTTCTAAAAATGACTGATGGAGGAAGGAAAGACCTGGTCTGGCCACCAACTAAAAATCGTTCCAGAGCTTTTCCTCCTTGGTCCTTAGGGCCTCGCTTTACAACTAGATCTGTTGTTGACACCTTGAGTGCTGTCCCTGGAATCCTGAGCAGGAAAGGCATACTGAGACTGGGTTCTGCTCAGAGGGAGTTGGTGCCGCGAGGGGTTTGTGTGTCTGACTAGGCAGAGGGAAGTGGGAAGAAAAACGACTTCCTATGCCTTTGCTATCTGTCTTAGATAGCTCTAGCAACTTTGCACAGCCTAGAGTCATCTGAGTGCAGAGCCTCAACTAAGGAATTTCCTAGATCAGATTGGCCTGTGGGCATATCAGTGAGGGATTTGTCTTGATTGTTAATTAACTTAGGTGGGCCCAGCCCACTGTGCACAATGCCATCCCGAGGCAGGTTGTCCTGGGCTGCATAAGAAAGCTAGGTAAGGAGTTGTAGAGATGGCTCAGCAGTTAAAAGTACTGGCTGTTCTTGTAGAGGATCAGAGTTCGATTCCCAGCGTCATATGGCAGCTCACAACTGTCGGTAACTCCACTTCCAGGAGGTGCAATACCCTCTTCTGGCTTCAGTGGGCATTGCATGCATGTGGTGCAGGCAAAACACTCATAAAAATAATAAATAAAATACTTTTTAAAAAGCTAGGTGAGTATGGACACATGAGGCATCAAACAGCGTTCCTCCGTTGTTTCTGCTACATTTCCTTGGTGGTGAATGAGTTCCTTGGGTAGAGCAAATGCTGTGTGGAACAGCAAACGGACTTGCCTTTGGGTTACTGCTTGAATTCCTACCTTGACTTCCCTCACTGATGGCCTGTGATCTGGAAGTTGTAGGCCAAGTAAACCCTTTCCTCCCCTAAGTTGCTTTTGGCTGGAACGTTTTATCACAGACCAGGCTGGCCTCAGACTCACAGAGATCTGCCTGCCTTTGTCTCCAGCGTGCTGGGATTAAAGATATGTGCCACCATGCCAGTTTAGCTATCTTTCTTATACAGCCTAGGACCACCTGCATAGGGAATAATGTCACCCACTGTGGGCTGGACCCTCCTTCATCAATTAACAGTCAAGACAATGTGTCCACAGGCCAGTCCAATCTGGGAAATCCCTTGACTGAAACGTCTTCCTTAGGTTGTGACAGGTTGACAGTGAAAGCTAACTAGGACAGATACCACCTACCAGATGGATGAAGATCTAATGTCCCAGGAGTACAGTTCTGATGGGTGGGGAAGATCTGTGTCACCCATGCTAACGGAGTCTGAAGGTTTTGTTGGACTATGAAAGGGATGAAGCATGGGGCTGGCAGGAAGTAGTGAGGAGTGAGCTATTCGACAGGAAACTGTGCACCTGCACTGGGCTGGGCAGCATCAACTCAGCTTCATCAGTAAGAGATACTGAGCAGGGAATTCCAGGAAGAGCCACGGTGTGAGCCACAAGCAAAATGAGGCAGCTGAGATAGTGTAGGAAATGTGCAGAGAGCTGGTGAGAGAGGCACATGCTGGAGAGGTGCTCTCTCTGCTTACCAGGCCTAGGTAAGAGCTTGGGTTGTAGAAGAGACAAGCTGTGAGACGTCAGAAAGATCTCCAACACAAGGAATTCAGTTCTAACACTCACATCCCTTCTCCATGCCATTCCACCACCCCAAGCCTGATGCCTTTCAGCCTTTAGAGTTCTGGCTCAAATGCCGGTCCTTTAAGAAGCATGTTGAGGGCAGGGCGTGATGGCACTTAATCCCAGCACTTGCAAGGCAAAGGCAGATGGACACTCTGTGAGTTCGAGGCCAGTCTGGTTTACATAGCAAGTTCCAGGTCAGCTGGGGCTGCAGGGAGACCCTGTCTCGAAAAGATTTAAAAAAAAAAAAAAAGCATGTTGAGATGGTGAGATTACTGTCTCAATTCCACCTCACTCACCACATCTGGGATGTGACCTTCTTTTAAGGAGACAAGATCTTGGTATGTGGTCTAGGCTGGCCTAGATCCTCCTACTTCAGCCTAATGCTGGGATTCTAGGCAAACAGGCTTAACATATCTCATTTTCCCTTCAGATGAAAAGTCTCTTTTTAAATCTAATTTTCAAATTATATATTTATTTAGTAATGTTGTATGTGTCATGGCACTGTGTATGAGGTCAGAGGACAACTTCTGTGAGTCTTCTCCCACCATATGAGTCCTAGGGATTGAATGCAGGTCATCAGGGTTGTTGGCCAGTACCTTTACCTGCTGAGCCAAATTATTGGCCCCAGAAGGAAAGTTTGATACCTTAAACAGCCATGTGTACAGTAGATATTTTTTTTTCCAAATGCTTACCAAATAATTCGTAACTTCAGAGGATGTTAGATGTTCGATGTTTCTCACTACTTCCTCCCTTTCTGCGTTAACCTCGTCACAAGATGTTTTACAGATCTAGTCTTATGGCCAGAACCCTGCAAAGTGATTTTCTTTGCATACTTCTAAAGGATATTAATCAAATCCTCTTTTAATTACATACTCCAGAGCACCGCTTTATTAAATCATGGGAAATTAAATTTTTGTTGTGAGCAGAAGAATGCAGCCGAGTCTGTGTGCTAACCAACTGGTCTCTCTTCCAGGTTTTGATTACTACTTTGGAATCCCATATAGCCACGATATGGGCTGCACGGACACCCCAGGCTATAACCTCCCTCCTTGTCCAGCGTGTCCACAGGGCAATGGCCCGTCAAGGTACTTCTGTTTGACACATTGGCTATGGGCTCTGAGCTCAAGTGGAAACCTAACATTGTGGCTTTTTGGAATAAGTGAAAGATACAGACGGGTCAGTTGAGGCAGCAGACAAGATAGCAAATACATCCAGGGCAAAGGCTCTGATTTGTGCCCTCATGCAAAGGGTCAGTTGAGGCAGCAGACAAGATAGCAAATACATCCAGGGCAAAGGCTCTGATTTGTGCCCTCATGCAAAGGTGAGAGCTGCAACATCTTTCTGTTGAAATTTCTAGATTCTTTGGATTGTGTAGCTCAGCTGGGAAGCCTTGTGCTGCCAAGGTCTAGCACAGGTGGAGCCTTCCTCCTCCTCTCCCTGATGGCTTGGGTACTGGACTTGCCTGGTCTGGACATGAGACACGAGGAGAGAGGGAAAGAAAGGACGAGAAGCACCTAAGGCTCCTTCTGAGCCTTCCATCCCCCACCAGACATCTGACATGGAAATCCTGTCCAGGCACTAAATAGGATGCTTTAGAACCTTACTGAGGCTAGAGAGATACCTCAGTGGATAAAATACTTGTCATGTGAGCACAAGGACCTGAGTTCAAACCTCAGAACCCATGTAAAAAAGCTAGGCATGGGACAGGTGAGGTGGCTCAGTGGGTAAAGGCACCGATAGGCCTGATGCGATCTCTGGGATCCATGGGGTGGAAAGAGAGAACGGACTCTTGAAAGTTGTCATCTGACTTCCATACCCACACTTGGGCACACATGTGTGCATTTGCACACACATACACACAAATAAATGAATGCATATAATTAAAAAATAATTATAAAAGATAGGCCTGGTGGTATAAACACTTGTATTTACAGTGCTGGGGAAATGGGGACAGGTCGATCCTTGGAGCTCAGTAGCCAGTCAGGTTAAACTTACTTGCTAAGTTTCAGCCCAGTAAGAGACTCTGTCTTTGTTGTTGTTTTTATTTATTTGTTTTGCTTTTGGTTTTTTGAGGCAGGGTCTCCTCGTGGCCCCAGCTGGCCTGGAATTCACTATGTAGACCAGGCTGGCTTCGATCTCACAGAGATCCTTCTGCCTTTGTCTCTCGAGTGTGCCATCACGCTTGATTCAGAGACCGAATCTTAAAGAAATAAAAACCAAGGCGAATGATGTTTGAGGAGTGACACCTGAGGTTGACCTCTGGCTTCGACATGTATGTGCATACTCATGCACACGTGCTTGCACACGTGTGTAGCCCCCACTTGAACACATACCACTAAACAAAAAAAACCCGCCCATAACAAACCCTACTGTATTCAGTGAAATGGGTCAGGGAGTGAACATGGTTCTTTACTCCCTCTGGGTCTGCAGCTTTGCCACCCTGTCGGGAGAGACTCTGAAAAGATGGGCTAACACGTTAACAAGAGCTCACTCTGGTTCTGGGACTGAGGAGTTTCCTTGTCTTTTTTCTCATTGTATTTTCTGAATATTCTACAAGAGCACTAAAATTCTGATCAGAACAATTGCTAAGCCTTACTCAGGCAATTAGTGTGGCTTCTAGGCTTCACATTAGGAGCCTGCACTATGGGTTACTTCTAGGGACACAGGTGTCTAAACTGCTTGGGGAATGTCTCAGCTGGCTCATTAATAACATACTAGTTAATACCTAATGGTTGTTTATTGAGACATTGTTGCATTCTGGGCACTGTTCACCTTGGCCTGTGACCTACAGGACCACTGTGAGGCAGGTATGGCCTGGAACTGGCTATGTAGACCAGGTTGACCTCAATCTCACAGAACTCTGCCTGCCTCTGCTTCCTGAGTGCCACCACACCACGCCTGGTCCACCTTTCTTTTCTTCTCTTTTGTAAAATTTATTTAGTTTTATTTTATGTGTATGAGTGCATGCATGTACATACACCATGTGTGTGTGCCTGATGCCTACAAAAGCCAGAAGAGGGCACCAGATCCTCTGGAACTGAAGTTACAGGTGGTTGTTAGCCTCCATGTGAGTTCCGGGACCTAAACCTAGGTCATCTGGAAGAACCAGCGCTCTTAACCACTGAGACATCTCCCCAGCCTCCCTTTTTTTTTTTTTTTTTTTTTTACCCCCCCCCCCCCTTTTTTTTTTTTTTTTTTTTTTAATGTAGTCTTTGGTAATAACGTATCCAACCTGACCCTATCCTCTAAGCTTCTACAACAGTGTGTGTGTGTGTGTGTGTGTGTGCGCACGCGCACGCGCACGTGCACGCATGCACATAGGCATAATGGAGTTTCCAATTCTCCCTGAGCCTTTCTCTAACTGTCCTGTCAGGACATGTGTGACACTGCATGCTCCTCATCCTTCCATCTACCTCTCAGTGGCGGCCAGGTTAGTGCTGAGTGGTGTGCACAGCACTAACTAACATTTGCCATCTCCTTTTGTCCTCCCTATACTCCCTCCCTGTAAGAGGGCACAGGTGACCACATGCTGGGCAAGTGGAATCCAGCCTCTGAGAGTGAAAGTACCACATTCAAGATCATGGCCTTCAGGGGTGGCCTGGGTCAGATTCATTTTTCCCTGTAGGAGGACCCATGGCAGAATTTGTTTTCTCCAGGAATTGCTATCATTCTGAATTCCCCGTCCCCAACTCATTGCTATAGTTTTTCCAAATTTTTTAAACATGGTTCAAAATTAAAATTGTTCTAGGCTGGGGTTGGAGAGATGGCTCAATGGTTAAGAGCACTGGCTGCTCTTTCAGAGGACCCTAGTTCGGTTCCCAGAACCTACATGGTGCCTCCCAACCATCTGTAACTCAGTTCCGGGGAATCTGACTCCCTCTTCTGGCCTCTTTAGGCATTTCACACATGGCATACTTACAGACATGCAAACAAAACACTCATACATATAAAAAATAAATAAATTTTAATTGCCTTAATATATCTTTTGTATATTTTGCCCTATTTGATGGACCCATGGAGTTAGGACAATACCCACAGTGCCCAAGTGCTGCTCACCATTCACAGAAGCTTCCCCTGTCCAACAGTAGACAGTTTGGACTGGCCTGTTCAGACCTCAGTGTATCTACCTGTAAAATAGGAATGATGATACCCCTGGCTCACCAGCATGTCGTCCACCTTTACAGAGCAGCTGGCTCACCCAAGGAGCACAAGTATCTATTCAAAGTGAATGGAAAAATCATTCAGAACTGGTTTTCCCTTGGAGGAAATGGCTGACCTGCCGAACCCTCTGGGTCCAGATATTAAATGCTTTGTGTCTACCTGCAGCGCAGCGCTGCATTAAATCTTTGCATTCTACTCTGGCTACTTAGGGCGTGAAAGTGAATGTTCCCCTATCTGTGGTTTCCACCAGGAGTCCCGAGAGGGACTGTTACACAGATGTGGCTCTTCCTCTCTACGAAAATCTCAACATTGTGGAGCAGCCTGTGAATCTGAGTGGCCTTGCACAGAAGTACGCAGAAAAGGCAGTGGAGTTCATCGAGCAGGCAAGGTAAGGAGCCCCACGCCCTGCTCCTAACCCCTCTTCCACCACCCCCAGCCCTCTCAAGGCTAAGGCAGAGTTTCATAGAGCAACAAAGTACACACGCATGTCTCCTTTAAGCAACACTGGGAAACAGTCCTGCTAGACTCTCTGGCCTGGGTTAGAAGTTTCTCAGGTATAATCCTGCCGGCTTTGCCTCCCTGCTTTGATCAGCCTGTGGTTGTGGTCATTCTGTGTTCTCTACTGGAGTGTAAGTTCCTTGAGGGCAAGTCCTGCCCACTGTATTCGGGGCACTTAGCACATGTGTTGAACTCATTTGTTGGCAGGCTGTATTTGTGTCTCATTGCTGTTGTAACAAATGACCACCAAAGTAGTGACTAAAACCAACAGTCACTATAGTACTTCTCTATAGAAGTATAGCATTCTTCTGCAGATTTGGATGCAGGATGAAAGATTCCTTAGAGGGCCATAACAAGGTATCAGCAGGGCTCGCTCTTTCTGGAGTTTGCAGGAACTCTTCCTCATCTCTTCCGGTCCCAGTGGCGTCTTATGTTCCTTGATTTATGACCACGTCATTCTGCTCTGTACTTTTTTGTAGTCAGTTGCCCTCCTTACCACCTCCACTTTTTAGACAGTTTCATGTAGCTGAGGCTGGCCTCCAATTCAGTGTGCAGCTGAAGAGGTCCTTGAACTCCTGATCCTCCTGCCTCTACCTCCCAAATTCTGGGATTACAGACAGGTGCCACCATGCCCAGCCCTCTGTCTATCTGTTTTAAGGATTCTAGAATCAATCAGGAATAAGCCAAGGTAATCATCTTACTCAAGAGTTTTCCCTAATTATAAAGCTCCTGTAAAGTTCCCTTTACCTTGGAAGGTAATATTTCCAGATTCCAGGGCTTAGACCTCAGGTATATTTGGGGGTCATTATTTAATCCCCCACACTGGGTTTTGAATTCTAGCACCTACAGGGCTGACATAGGTAATCTCAGAGAGGAACGTAGGCTCAGCGTGGGGCCTGTGGTGAACATATCTGTTGTGGTTTGAATGAGAAATGTCCTCCACAGGCACAAGTATTTGAACACTTGGTCCCCAGTTGGTGGCCCTGTTTGGGGTAAGCATGGAATTTTTAGGAGGTCTAGCCTTGCGGGAGGAAGTGTGCCACTAGGGGTGGGTTTTGAGCCTGCATAGCCTCACCCTACTTCCAGTTTGCCCACCTTGCCTTGCATTTGCCTTTGAAGCTGTGAGTCTCCTGTCCCCATCCCTGTGGCTTTCTGCCGTGCTGCCCCTCCACGACAGACTCTTGCCCTAAACCCGAATAAACTCTTCCTTTTATAAGTTGCCTTGGTCATGGCATCTTATCACAGCAACAGAAAAGTAACTAATATCATACTCCATCTAAATAAAGGACCAGTGACTACCTAGCTCTAGCCAGTCGCTATTGGTGGGAATGTGAACCTGGAATGTCATATCTTTCCAGTTTCCAAGAGAAACAGGATACCTGGCTCTTAAGTGAAATCTCCTCATCTTTAAATGTTAGAAACTACTGAAAAAAATGACTGAAACTGGGCCAGTGAGATGGCTCCGCGGGTAATGGCACTTGCCACCATGTCTGACAACCTGACTGGTCCCTTGAACCCATATGGTGGGAGGAAAGAACCAGCTCCTGAAAGTTGTCCTCTGACCTTCACATGTGTGCTGTGACACACACACACACACACACACACACACACACACACACAGTAAATGTAAATAAATAAAAGCCAAACCTCAATCAGTCAGAGCAAAGAGGGACCCAAACTGTGCTCATCTTATGCTTCTCTGAAGATCTCAAGCTCCTTGAGGACAATGGAATAATTTCTTAGCTCCACAGCCTCAACCTAAGTGGGCAAGAAAAAAAATGTGCCATACAGCCGTCTGCTCATGCAGATTTAAAAATGGCTTCACCTGTGGATGGGTCAGCATCCCAGCTCCAAGTGTACAGGATTCCACAGTCCTTGCTCAGCCGTGCTGCACTTTTCTAGAGACACCAGCAGGGAGGGCAGGAGCAACAGTGTGGGAGACCCAGGTGTCTGTCTGTGCACTCTATAACACAGTCCAGTCCTTAAGCTCTAATTTCAGATTGCACCGCCCCAGGCATTAGAGATGGCACCTAGATTTTTCTGATAAACCTTGTCAATGATTTTTGCCAGATTGCTGATATAAACAGAGTGATGGTCCTTTGATCCTCTGAAGGGTTGAGTATCTGCCAGCTTCCTGCATCTTTGAGATGGTTCCAGGTTGCTCTGCCCTGTGGCGGGTAGATGCTTCATGATTGGTAGGGACAGTCCCCTGCTGTGTTGCAGAGCCTCAGCCTTCTGAGTTAGAGGGATGGCAGCTGGCTGGGGACTGGGGACTGTAATGACTGCTCTGCATTACAGAGCAGGGGTGTGAAATCTGGCCATCCGTCAGTTAATGAACCGTTTAAGAGACAAGTCAACTAACGTTCTCGCCTTATCAAACAAAAACGGTGAAGAGTTGGCTAATTTCTAAGTTAAGTCAAAGGTCATGAGTCCTGTTGGCTTTTAACTTCGCAGAAGGTAGTCCCAGGGCATGCAGATTTGAAATTTGACCTGCCAATTCATCCATGAGATTCTGAGCTTCAGCGGAAAAGAAAAAACTAGGCGTGTGTTTCTTCTTCCCCACCTTGTACCTTCTTCCACTCGGACCTGGTTCCCGAGAATGTGGTTTCCTGCTCTTCCTTGGCATCTTAGTCCCCTTCCTGTTGCTGTGATAAAATACTCTTGACAAAAGCTTCAGAGAGAAAGGGCCCATTTATTTTAGCTCACAGTTCAAGGTACAGTGCATCGTGGGGATGACAAGGAGGAGGAGCTTGAAGTAGCTGGTCACAAGGCATCGAAAACAAGGAAACAGATGGAGGCAAATGCTGGTGTTGCTCAGTGCCCTTTCTCCATTTATACAGCCAGGATCCCAGCTAGGGAATGCCCCACCCACCGTCAATGAATGTAATCAGGATAATCTCCTGCTGACGTCAATGAACATAATCAAGATAACCGCCTGCTTATGTGCCAAGAGGTCCATCTCTGAGATGATTCTCGATCCTGTCAGGTTGCCAGCTCGTATTACCATCACCCTTGGCAGGAAAGCCCACCTTCTTTGAAGTTTTTGCTTGGTTTTTACATGAGTTTAGCCCCTTAATCTGGCAGTGATGATAAAAGCAAATCCTTGATGTAGGTTTTTAAACAGCAGGTAAATGTCTGAACAGAACAGTGGATGACATGGGCTCTGGAGTCACAGAGCCAGCCGTGTGCTGCTTACTGGGACTGTACATTGAACCTAATAGGACTTAGAGGGCTTGGCAAATAAGGGTGGGTTGGGCTTAGGGGTGGATGTTGACTTAGTATATTTGAAATCAGAGTCCTCTGGAAAATCCGGTGTGTGGTCAATGTTCAGGATGTTGTGGGCTGTATGTTTGTGGTCCCTTCAGTTCATGTGTTGATAACCCTAATCCCTAGTCACACAGGCACATGCAACCTTTGACATTGTGACACAACTTGTCATCTACAAAGTTCACCCTTGGGAACTGCAATTGGGTTACAAAAAAGATCACACAAAAAATGTTTTAAGTAAGTTTAGGATTCTGTGTTGGGGAACATTCATAGTTATCCTGGGGTGCATGTGGCCCAAGGGCAAGGGTTGGACATGCCTGCATCTAGTGGGATGATTTTGGGAGATGAGGCCTTTGAAAAGTGCTTAGGTCTAGATGAGGTCATGAGGATGCAGCCCTCCTGGTGGGGTGAGTGCCTTTATCAAGAGAGGATGAGACCAGAACTGCTCTCTCTCAGGTGAGTGTGGAAGGGAGAAAGGAGACACCGAACTCCTCAGATTCCAGAGCTTTAAGAAAGGAATGTTTGCTGTTAAAGTCACTCAGTCTGTGGTACTTTTGTTCTCACAGTCTGAGCAGACTAAGACACGTGTATATCATTCAGAGCAAAGTCCTAGAGACGGACAGATGAAAACTGAGCCTTCAAGGGGCAGAACCTAGGCTTTGCAAAATTCTTTTACTTGACTTACTGTTGTAGATCTCAGGCCTCCAAGCAAAATAGCTGCCATGTTCATCGCATCAGCTGTGCCTACTTTCAAGGGGCCATCAGGGACAGGCTTGTTGACTGCTGGCATTCCCTTATAGAAGGGAGGCGGTGAGGAGGGTCAGTGGGCCGTCCCCTGAGAGCCTAGCTGCTTCTCCCAGCAAGAATCTCCCAGCAGTTCTGCCCTGGTTACACATGGCCTCAGGCTCTCTGGAAGGGGCTGGAGTTTATAAGCTGGGAAGACTAGAGGGGAGGGGCCATCATCCATGTTGGGGGAAGACTTTCTAGTGTCACTACTTTGGGGTCACCCACTCTCCTTTAGGCACCCCCTCACCCATGTTCTGTAAGTTAGTGCAGTGAACTCTCTGGTTCCCAAGGGTGGACTTTAGTGGAATCATATTTTGGTTTGTCACAGGGACCTTATGAGGAGGGAGCAGATGTTTATGTCTCTCCAGTGAATCCTCAAAACTCTCACCGTCCCTTTCCTTATCCTCTGCCACGCTCTAAGCACCCCTCTGTGGACATGCTCTCTCCCCGCCTTCCTTCCCACCCCAGCTCCCACCCTAACACTCAAAGAACTAGGATTCTAGATTTACCTTGAAGACCCATTTTCATCCAACCCCATCTTTCTTCCTTTCCTGTTGAATTCTGCGATGAATAATGGGTGTCTGAGTGAATGAACTAATGAGCTGCTCTGCAATCGTGGCAGCACCCCTGTAGCCACTTGTCCCTCGGGTCTCTTACAGTTCTACGCTCCCCACGAACTTTTTGACCGCCCTCCCCCTTTTGAAACAGGGTCTTCTTACATCACAGGCTGGCCTTGAACTCAGTGTGTAGTTGAGGATGACCTTGACATTCAGATCCTTCTGCCTTTGCCTCCTGAGTGCTGGGATTACAGATGTCCTCCGCGACACCTTTGTATGT